CGCGCTACACACTAGTCTTTTGAATTTTAAAAATTCCATGGAACTTGCCTCTATTCGTCGTAAACTTAGGGGAGTTGGATATCGGAAAGAAAAATCATAAGCCACTCGGTCGGTGGTCATAAGAGGGTTCTACGTGAGCGGCTCCATATGTGAGGCATCTGCGGCAGTTGCAATCCTCTTGATCACCTGAGGAGAAAAACTTAACGCCCATCCTCAGAATGAAAAAAGTTCAGTGACACTTCAGTACTAACGGCCACTGCCTACGTTGGCATGTAATCTTTCAATAGTTGATCTATAGCTCAAGGAGACGGTCAGCATTCAATCAAATGAATATATATATATATATATATATATATATATATATATATATATATATATATGCCCTATGTTGAGGCTGATGTTGCATTCCTGATGCTTCTTCACCGCAATTGGGCTAAACCAACTTACACTTAAACTAGGTCTTTTTAAGCTGGATAAATTTTATTTCACTTTATTTGGTTTGTTCTGCCTACTTGACTAATCTTGTAGTAACTGACCACTGCTTACGCTAATTGTAATTATCTTCATTAACCTTATTATGTTTGTAGTACCTTTTTGAGTAACTTGTGGACATTTTGTACTTATCGCGGATTCGTTGCTAACCAACTTACTTCATATGCTACTTTAGGGAAGAGTTATGCCACCGTATCTGTATGTATTATTGGATTTATTTCATTTCATCTTGTCGTTTCAAGGGATTGGCTGTTGTTTGATTTCCCCGGTGTGGCTGCGCTTGATGTGCATGTTGACAAGGTGCCTACCTGTCTATTACCCATTACCTCGTTCATACTGGCTCCAGGAGACAGTTGGTCGTTGCTGGAGGGGGCCGGATGTACGGTCGTTGTGGCCGTGCTAGGCTCGAAGAGCGGTTCCATGCACAGTTTGGATAGAAACACATTAGGCCTCATGAACAATAGTATTAACAACATGTATGGGTATCGTTTGGAGCTCAGGCTAACCGCCAATTACACCGGCATGAGAATAAGTATCCAAGAGGACTGTTGGTGTTTTCTTTAACACTTAGACGTTGACAGCCTTAGATCTTGGGCATCCATATTTGAACGAAATCGATATAGGAATAGGAACGCAGTTGCCATCAGTATGGTTACCAGATAGAACGATTAATAAACAACTGGTACATTAAAATAGTGTCTACTAGGTGTTGCCTACTATATGCACAGTTTGGTTTGTGTGGCTGATGTGGGAGATCGCACAACGTGCGAATGCGATGGGGTGTTCACTTCAGTCTCTCGGTGTCGCCGATCATCTGCTGCCCGAGGTACGATTTTTGCGCAACCTTAAGCATTGACAGGTGTCCATACCGCATATTCGCCACTTACGGCCTCATTGGTGTGACAATTACCGCAGTACTACATCAACTAAGTTCCGCTGCCCACTGTCAAACATGCGATTTTCTAAACAGTGTGCGCAAATGTTCAAGACGTAGCATGACTGTCATCCAAGTACTCAACCGTCTGTACATACCTCTGTGTACTCTGGTGTGGCCATAAGCTATTTGGTAACAATCTCCATCGTATGCATAGGTGTATGCGACCTTGCAGTACCTCTAGCCCGCGCTCGGCTGGTGATAGTCACGTGACAGAGAACTGTAGATGTTTCAACAAAGCAAGCACAACTATGATTTCGATTGATAGAATGAATTCAGGTTATTTCGTGTATTCTCAATCAGTCGCTTACAAAGGTACAGTGGGAGGATTTAGTGTGTGCATGTGATATGGAATCAATAAGGTAACCTATTTGCATCTGGGGCGATTGGGGTCATCGCTTCCACTGGTTGATCCTATGCTTTACCATGGCAAGGCTAAGCTGGACAAAAAGACAACTTGGCGCTTGAACTGTTCTCTGAGATTGGCAATTTTGCTGCAAACGTTTCGTCACCAATCGAGATGACATCATTGGTGCGTAGTTGAGTGGCGTACGGTAGCGTAGGGAGCCTCTTACCGAGGCTACTTGACGCTACTGCACGCCATTCAACTTCGCATTGATGATGTCACCTCGATTGGTGACGAAACGTTTGCAGCAAAATTGCCAAGCTCAGCGAACAGTTCGTCCACTATCTGAACAACCTGAGCTACCAGTCTTCAATTCTATAGCCAACAAGGACAACTTGTTTGCACATGTTAGGCTTCAGTCGCCGGATTGCGGAAGCCTCGGCAAACCGGAACAGTGTCAGACTGTTCAGTCTACTCTGACGGCCTTGAACCACTTACGGGGTTCTTGACATGCATTGCAATCACGTAGGTGTCGAGCATAAAAGCTGGCAGGTTGCTTGGGGCCGTTCATCGCTAGGCCTAGCGGAACATACTTCATAATCCTTGTAAATAACCTCTCAGTCCGACCAATGTACCTGCTATCCCACGTACATGTTCTGCATGTTCCTCGAGACCTAGCGATGAGCAGCCGCTCTAATCTATCTACCAGCTCTATTGCTCGACACCTACATGATCGCAATGCGTTTCAACACCCCCGTAACTCGTCCAAGATGGTCAATAGGCAGAACAGTCCAACACTGCTTCGGTTTATCGAGGCTTCCGCAATCCGGTGACTGAAGCCCAATCTGTGCAAGCAAGTTGACCTCATGTCAAGCTTAGCCTTGTCATGGTAAGACATAAGATCAGCCACCGGAAGCGATGACCCCAATCGCCCTAGGTCCAAATTGGTTGCCTTATTGATTCCATATCGTATTCACTCACTAAATCCTCCCACTGTACGTTTGTAAACGACTGGCTGGGAATATACGAAATAAGCCGAATTCACTCATCCTCCCGAAGTGCTAGTAGTACTTTGCCTTTTCAGAAATTTCTCTGGGGAACCGGTTGCACGGAACTGTAGATGTGGTGCACCAGCGTACTGCTGCTACCTTACTCGATAGTGTCACTCGCCTTTTTTCCAACAGCCTTATTCTATACATGGTTACGGATATGCAAAGAATCCTTTTGCTAGTAAGCATAATTTTATGCCACTCATTAAAAATAGTGCCTGACAAACATCTTGTACCAGCCTTTTAGTTGCCTGGGCCTTCGATCGTATCTCAATTTATTGCTGATAACTTTAGTGTTCTGCTCGGCTTGTCATGGCGTGTCTGTTTGTATGGTTCTATCACTGCTGAGACTGATGTGGCATTCATGATGCTTCTTCATCGCAGTTGGGCTAAGCCAACTTACACTTAAACTAGGTCTTTGTAGTGTGGATAAAATTCATACCACTTTATTTTTTGTTTTGCATACTTGATAATCTTCTCCTAACTTGCACACGTCGCTCATGCTAATTGTGGTAAACTTGCGTAACATTGTCACGTGGTACTTTTTAAATAACTTTCGGACATTTCTTACTTATCGCTAGTTCGCTTATAACCAACCATATGCTCACTTAGCGAGTATTTCTGTCGTCATATACGTTTACTTTGTTCGATCTCTTTTATTTGATATCGGCATTTCGGATGGTTGGCTTTTGCTTTATATCTCAGATGTGGCTGCGCTTGATGTGCATGTTAACAAGGCGCCTACCTGTCTATCACCCACTACCTCGTCCATACTGGCTCTAGCAGACAGTTGGTCGTTGCTGGAGGGGACGGGGTGCACGGTCCTTGTGGTCGTGCCAGACTCGAAGAGTGGTTCCATGCACTCAGTGTGGAGCGGACTACGGTCCAGCCACCGCCTTGTGTGAGTTTGATTTCCCAAATACAGCGTGCTTGTGTTTGCCTGTGAAGGAGTGTGGGACGGCTCCGTCGATGAAACGTGGCTCCCATCCACATGCCTCCCGGTCTTATTTCTTCTGGTTTACACTGGATATGGGGTGTGTGGTTGGATCTGTGGGTGGTGCAGCGCAAGCCACCCATGATCCCTCTGTAGGCGCAGGCGTCCTGTGGCTAGCCACGGTGACAACCAAATCCGAAACCGGATGCCGCCAACCATCACTGAATCACTGTATCGTTCATTACTCCAACGTATACGCCGACTGCACTTTACCAGCCTTACACTTTAAGCCTGCCCATTCTCTGCCGGCCCGTGGCCTTAATTATCAAAAAACTGCACTGTAGTCCAAGGGCGCGCGTTCGAGCCTGCATAGAGCGCCGGACGACCCTCGCAGTATCCTTAGCCCACCTACGATGCGTCGGTGCTGCATGCCTGTGTACTACTGATGCCTGTTCATTCTCTACTTGTACAAGTTATCTGAGTAGGTCAATTTTCCAACTATCTCTTAGTTTGAGTCACGTCGATGTTAAGCTGCTGTGCATTCAGCTTTTCTTTTGTCCAACTGGCTTTGTTGACCATCGACTCGAAGATATCGATGATCTTCCACGAGTGATTCTATGTTTTGAAAACTGGTTCTCAAATTCTGTCGAGCTGCAACTCTGAGATGTAACTTTGGAATTCCTTCACTCGGTGCTCAGTAGACCGTACCTCAGTTACAGTTAACGTTGCTCAGGTCGATCTAATCGCCATCAGAAATAATTTAGCAACCGATAGGCTCCAACTCATGATAATAGTCTGGGCCATGGTCACTGTTTTGATACCTCAGCCGCCTGCAGTATTTGGCGTTTGCTGGATAAGTTGAAAGCAGCAATATGAGAGAGAGAAACTACTATTGATAGTTGGGTTCCCGTCATCTCTACTTTGGTTGCAGGCTAATTTTCAAAATTTCAGAGCAAGCATCCAGTAGCTTACTTTTGCTTATACTGATCATGGCGTAACTTATCCCTAGTTTTGGAACGAACATAGTTTCGCGTGATTTTTCATACTAGTGTCGAACAGTATGCCATTCTTATTCTGTCATTTTGGTGTTCTGCAGCCAGTGTTTCGACTTAAACACGGCTCCATCCCGTTCACATCAACGATTTTCTGATTATGATACCTCCGACTCTCCGCACTGTATTGTCTTTAATATCACCAGACCAAACTGTTATTTCGAAAATCAATCTTCGATTCTTCCCGTTATAGGTTGGTCGAGCAAATGAGCGGAGAAAACTTTTCCAACGGGCATGTACGACCCGGTTTCTCATTCAATTTTTACCGCCCACCCTTACAAACGGCAGGGTGTCCGGCATCCATGTCCCAAACCCCGAATGGTGTGGTGGCACCCAATCGGAATGCTTTTATTTCCTGTTCTAATTCAGGTACAGATACCCATCCTTCCAGAACTCCTGCTCACATGGAAAAACCTATCGGTAAGTGCGACCAGTCCTCGGGAGAAATCGCTACGTTTTTAACCGGGACCTCTATACAAAAACTCGTCGAATCACTTAACTTCCTTACAGCTTCATCTCCAGTCCCAAACCTCACGGTGATCTCTTCTGGAAGTGTACTTCCAAACAACACTATCGGCGGCTTTCAGGCCCATTCCGTCTTGAATAATCTTTTCCAATCACTTCTTCGGGCTCGAGTTCCCGTATCGAACCCACCTTTAACAATGCCACCGGCTAATGTGTCCGGATATGTAAATACTTTGGCGACTCCTGATGGCCGTTTCGTGCCCAGTTCCAATTCTTCTTCTACCGTCCCAGCTGTGTCAGACCCACAGACGTCACGTTCCTCGTCCACTCAATCATCGTCAGCTACCTACTCACCTATTCCGACGATTATTTCTACTTCGAGGCAGCCGCAACCTTCAAATCCCCCTCCTCCCTTAGTCACGCGTCATCACAAAGTATCCCATAGCTCTATAGAATCATTGTTTATCCCAGCCAATATGGCGAATGTGCAGCTCGGTTCCGGGAAATTTTCCGATCAAGGCAAGCTGCAGAAACTAAATCCACTGGCCTTCGTTCGCTGGGCCTCGGGTAAGTGTCCGCTTACTGCTATTCTTTTCTACCTCTTTATATGCTGATTTAAGTACTGTATCCCCTTACATGACTTGACCACCTCATTTGCGCCTACTCAGCCAAACCTAGTGTTCCATCCGTCGTTCACCAAATGAGGCAACCACTTGGGCTTGAGAGTAATGCTACTGTTCTAAGTCCTATGATCGGCACACACTTGGAAAACCGTTACAGTTATTCGTACGATTGGCACTAATCACTTTTGAACCTTGTTCCTTCTCTGATTAGTGGCTTTCATATTACTTCCCATTAACACATCATTTTCACTTTTACAGTTCCAATGGAAGCTACGCATGTAATTTGTCTTTGGCGGTCTCAGTTACTGAGGGTGTACCCAAACAGCAAAATGGCTCCGTGTTTTCGCACATTGCGTATCAGGTTCCATGCAGATTCGAACCACTATTTCCTCCATTCATTGAGTTCCATTCGCAAGGATTGCCGTAGGTTTTTTCATCGGGCACAGCACCGTTGTTTTACCTTTGCCCATCGACAAAGTATCCCCAAAAATGTTAGGAATATGTTCATCCATGTTCAAGTTCATGCCAAATGATCGGAGTGGTCACAATATTTTTACGTCTATTTCCGAAACACGACAAATGAAAACTATGTAGTCCAGAGAACACGAAAGCAGCGGTTGCATCTTGACTGGTATGATACAGAACGCGAACCTTGGAGAATTGTTAAACATGACCCTGGGATTCTAGAGGTCTCCGATGCTGGCCGTGAAATCGGTCACGTCAATCTTTGAATACGCCTCCGACCTCGCAACCACAGAACCCGTATTTCGGTTAACTTTCAAACACATTCTATCCACCTTTTCTTTTGGCTATCCATCCTGTCCTGTTTTCTCAGTCGCTATTTATTATTATTATTATTATTATCTTAAGAACGGGGATCATGGCAGCCGAATCCACCGCACTTCGGTGCTCCGACCATACTTGTTCAACTGAGCCAAGCTGAGGGTTTTTCTGCGGACTCTGCATCGAAATTGCTCTGTGATATGAATCCGAAACGTCCTCATTAACACTCTTTGAACCACGTGAATGATGGTAGCCGCTCTCAACCATTAACCATCACGCCAGTTCGCAGACTGTCTTCACTGAGCGATAATTTTCACTCCGCTCCAAGTCCCGCAGGCCCACTGAACACAAGGCTAGCGCATTAACCGCATTGTGTCTCTTAAAAAAACCAGCCAATATATAGCTGCACAATAACCTTGGAAAGATCAACGGACAAATTAGAAGCGCAAAAGCGAGGCAGCAGTCCTTGCATAGCAGAAAAGCACGGGAGGAAAATGTGATAATGTAGACACTATAACGAATGTTTTTGTTAATGTTTAGACAATTAGGTCATTTTCAGGAAAATAACTTCTTTGCTACTCAACTAAAGTAGTGCAACAATAGAGTCGTCTGCGACTTTAATGCTGAAAAATTCGACGTATGCGCTTCGTTGTCTGACCGCATCTTTAGTGCAGACGACTAGAATCAATCAAGCGTTTCGAGTCCAATAGTTCTGATAATTCATTCTGCACGTTAGCTATGGGTGAGGAACACCTCACACGAAGACACACCAGCTGCTAATCGCATCTGGTATGCACATGACCGGTAATCTTCAATTGTCTTAACCCAAACGTCTTAATTCTCTGATAAAGCAAACCTCGACCACACAAATAAATAGTATACTTTTCTACTTTGCGAGAAGCTGATCCCACGCATGGTCAGGTCCACTACATTACAAATGGTGCATGCTCTATCATAGGAATAAGTAAATATGTTCCAATGCAGTAGTTAACAAGTAGTACAGTCAAACCTGTCTAAGACGACCACTCAAGGGAGGGACAAAAGATGGTCGCCATAGACAGCTTAATGCATAGGGACCTTACTCATATGCGAAAACGTTGGGGATGTTTCTGGCTGGTCGCCATGGTCCTAGTTATCGGAATGATGAAAATATGATGGGCTTTTCTGTGTTCTGTAGGTTAGTTTCAGCTTAATCGATTCCTTTGGCATTTTTAGGTGCTCATATTCTGTTTCTTACTATCACTTATGTCATCCGTGGCCTATTTCATAGGATAGTTGGCTGAATTTAACCTGAAAGAATAATTATGCGTGTGGCAGAGCTGTACGCTATCGGGCGCGTCCCCAGGTTGCGAATTGGGGAATGCCTTCCTTGTAGAGATAACTGCGAATAAGTCTCGTTTGGCCCTGCAGGCGAGGTGAATATGCAGTCTCAGACCATCAGCGGCAGCGTCTCAGAGCGTGCGGACTTCTAGGCTGGTCACCTGGTTCTCCATCAATTGCCACAACAGCTCGTAAAGCGCTGCGTCGAAGCCAATGTGACCGGCTATAGGTTCACTGACCACTCACTCCTGTAACCAGAGGTGAGTATATAACGGAGAGCGGATGAACAACCTTCCTGGCCACCGGCTTCTCTGTGGACTGCTACTGAACGCATAGAAAACAAAGGAGCCACCCGGATGTCAACGCTTTTCGTTAATCGCCCCGCTGCCTTGCTGGTTAAGTCTTAAGACCAAAGGCTCGGGTGGAGTCCCTTAAGTCAACCCTCTTCCTCGGCCTGGGCAACCGGGAAGACCTCTGCCCAAACAACACGTTAACCTAAACTTTCCCAATCCTTTCACTGACTACCCGTTTTCCCCTTTTTGTTGCTGTTAACTAGATGTTGTGACATTGCCAATTGTACATTAATCAAATGCTGAATAATTTACTATAATAATAATAATAGTAATAATTTGCATGGTGATTAAACCAGTATACCAGCAGAGGAACTTGGTATAAACTTAGATGTATTAACGTGGTTATCTCTTCCAGAGGTTTTCGAGTGTGCTTAGGCATGGCTCGACATCAGTCTAGCAAGGGGCATCTTACATGATCACCTTGCATGGGCAAATGAGTACTGCCTGGTACCCAGTAACTGTGTACTGAAACTAAGGTACGAAGAAACGGGATTCAGAATTCGCTGTCCTTTCCTTTTCAGATTAGCATACTCTCCTCTAGTTGATCACCGTCCACTAAGAAGAACGAAAAGTGAAGCAAATGCTGGCGATTAAAATCGGTTGGCTACACCTTTACAGCTTCTATGGGGACCTGAAAACCTCCAGTTAGACATGGATGAATAAGGCTAGAGACTTATAGTGGAACAGAGAATGAAAATGAAGATCAGTTGCTTTTACCTTTCCGGCTTCCATGGGGACATGAACGCCGCCCCCAGTTAAACATGGCCGAGTAAAGAGAAAGTAACAGTCGGGTGGAAACTAGAGACGACTACTCGTGTGCTTTATTTCTCAGCTCCATGGGGACATAAGGGCCTTAAAGATATGATAGTTCAGAAGAGGAATCCAACTGGCCGCAGCACCACTGCATTTTTGCCACCTGAATTCGTGTAACCATGCCACCTATTAATCTGCTGTCATCAAAATGCCCTTTTGATTTATAAACTTTATCCTTTTGGCTGAGACAAGCTTTCTTAAAAATTACTGAGAATACCTGTAGCTCGGGGTGTAGATGAGAGGGTTATGCTCTCCGAGGTAAGCAAAATTTGTGACAAGCACTACGTAGGTCAGACGGGGAGGAAACTAAGCACAAGACTACATGAACTCAGTTTGGTCATCCGCCGCCATGATGCAAAATCACTAATGTCATTACATATGGATGCCGAAGGCCATCAGTTCGATCTGGGGAACGTCAAGATGCTTGAAAAACCAAAGAACCGCGAAGTGCGTGACTTCATCGAGGTTTGACACTGGGGCCAGAACTCAATCAACAAGCACCTGGAACTAGAGGAGGTCTATGGAGCTTTGCAAGTGAAGTCCGCAATAAGTGCCAAATCGACAGGGCGAAAATGTGACCATTTGGCCGACCCACGTGGGCCAATCGAAGACTGGTATTCAAAGCAGGAGGCGATCACTAGTCACTTGGGTTTGGTAGTGATTTACTAGACTCTGAAAATCTGACCCCGATAGCCGCGCTGAGGATGTTGCCTAGCTTGGTAACGAAACGCCTGCAACGAAATTGCCCAATTCGGAGAACACAACAACCCACCCAAGCTTTACGACCCTAAGCCAGATAGGTCAGTAGGTTACACTTACACGCACATTGTATGCCAAAACTCTATATCACGACTCATGCCGTTAGCGAACTAAGTGCATCTGGCATATACCCTAGCCACTGGTTGTACACATCTGGAGGTGCTGATGCATCAACCACAGGTCAGTTTGAAATAAGCACTGTTCCGAGTCTCACAGCTGCATCCTCGTTGATTGACTGGCTAGGCTCGAGTAACCTTATGTGCAGTTCGATGCTAGACGCTGCTTATTCGCAGTTAGCGTCTACGCAATCACTGACTGAAGTTTGGATATTATGCATGACGTCTGTCACGAACTTCTCATGTCGACATGCGGTGCTGTTACTTTGGATTTGTTTCTAATTGCGACGGATATGAATGCATGTGCAGATCATCTAATCTCCGCAGATGTTTGGTTGAGTGGGAGCTTAGGGCTTAAATCAAATCACATGGACAATGATAGGGGCTTGTCACAGCTGTACACTGCTCATCACCAGCTTCTAAAAAACACTGTATTCAGGCACATTGGGAATCGAAGTGTGACTTGGCGTTCCCCGGTTGCTGACCAGTCATCTAACTAAATAAACTTTATCATCAGAGGCTTCAGCTGGAGTGGTTTCATACTAGGAATGCCTTTCATTTCGGAACACGTGCGTTGATTCCTGTCATGTCGTGGCACTCTATTGGTTTTCTTTAGAAGCTTCCGAAGAGGGCAGCAGGTAGCTCCCCGGTTGGCGACGATGTTATTACAATCATCTGTTACGTGTGTCTACCTTGCGTACTAGATTTCCACTTACTCTGCTCGAAGACATCAAGGGGATTGTGATTTCTGCCGTCACGCATCACACCGCAGCTTTAATTCTTGGCACTATCGATCCTCAGCTCATCAGATACTGGATATCTGAGAGATCCAGAAGTCTTCTGGGACCTAAGGGATTCCCTACTGGTTACACTGTACTTAGCAGACTGTCGAACGCGTGCCGGCGAGCATGCCAGCTTGACTCAGAGCGCTCAGGTATAGAGAGAGATTGGCGACGTGTAGCTTCAGTTGTTTTTCCAGCCCATTTACGCTGCTGGCTCTTAGAAATCACCCGTTAGGGTCATCATCATCATCAATACACGTTAGCCGTGAGTGAGAGACACACCTCAGCTAATATGCCGCAACCCCGTCAGGATAAGAATCAAGAATCACCACAGCACTTAATCACTTTGAGAGACGTCATCTGACTCATTGGGCCAAGGAGTTTGAGGCGTAGCTTAGTTTTCCTTCTCTCCCTAAGCCGGTTTATGTCCCAGTGGTACTTTAGAACCGTGGCCGATTAAATTAGGGCTTCCATTTGGATATGATATTCGGCATGCTTTCCCAGCCCCAACTGCTTGCGTGCCGCTAATCCAGGTCCCGCTACGTCCTTCATATTCTTGCATGGTAGCGAAACCCTTTGAAAATGATTGATCTGTCTGTTCTATTTGATACGAAAGGCAACTGTCGTGTAACCCTATCTATCTGGCACCGGGCAGCACGCTATTTATTTAATATATTATGCGTCACATAGCTCCGTCGCTGAGATCGATCGCGACTATTTTTTTCTCAAAGTCTCATATTGGCACAAACTTTGCTTTACGCCTACGCAGCTCCATGCACAGACGGGCCATCACGTGTCCACCCGCATCATATGCGCACATAGTCGATGGGTGGGCAGGCATCCGATCACGTGATATACTTTGGCTGACCGTTGTATTTTGGCTACCACCAGGGACCGTCTCAGCCAACTGGGACAATTCGACCATTGTGACGTTATTCCTGCAGAACGGTCACCGTTTGCCCCCAATTGTATGGTTATCAATCGCCTCACTGCGGCTGTTTTCACCATATATTTGCTATACGACAGATGTCCGACCAGCGTCATATGTATCGTGAACTAACTACGCCCTGGTCAGTGGCAGAATTGTTCAGGCGTTTGGATTGCAGTCTACGAGTCACCAGACAAAATCTGCATGGTTACTGCCTACCTCGCATTACCCAAGTCCAAGTCAACCGGCTGTGTTTGTTTGGCAGCGAAGATTCGGCACGGCAGCCCGGCGTCAAATTAGTGTAAAGATTGCTCCTATTCCTCGGCTCTAACTGTTACTCGGAGCTGGTAACCTATATAATCGCTTTTCGATTGTTTAAGAGTGTCGTATTGGTGTGTCCATATTTTTGCGCAGCTCAGCCTAGGTTACGACTCGATTCGCACACATTTGTTTAAATTACCTTGACTGATCAAGTTACAGAAACCATTGTGTTTGGGTTAGTGAAGAGGTTGGCGGACAAATCAAGGAAAGAGAGTGAGCAGGGACTTACGTTTGGCGACCTCGTAATGTGAACCACTGGACCGTCCCATACTTAATGCACCACGAAGTGACACTTTGATCTGTAGCGCGCTCGCCCTTCTACTTACATTCCACTTCGCTGTAAATGCTACATCAATCATCCACTAGATCAGATTTTGTTCTGCTCTCCGAGCTGAACAGTTTCGTTGCAAACTTTTCATCACCAATCGTGGTGAGTTCTTCAGCCAACTGAGTTGGCTTATTACTCACTGAAGAAGTCACCACGATTGGTGATGAAACTTTTGCAACGAAACTGTTCAGCTCGGAGAGCAGAACAAAATCTGAACAGATCACCCGAGCAACAGGTATTCCGATTTATTGCTAATCATCCACTAGTTCATTGGGCCCAACGAAGCGAAACGTGGCCCACCACCTTCACCAAACGGTTGTTTTTAAACCCTTAACAGATCGATCAGTTCCATACACATTTCAAGATATTGTAGGTTCCTTGTTGATTTACGTCATATAACTGTCTCTGTCAATGATGTCGAAACTGGTCAGTTGATTCCTCCTTGAGCATGTCACCGTGATCCAGTATTATACCTTCGTTATTTGTTGCCTTCACAGCCTGTACAAAATCATTCCGCCGGGATCGCATGTCAGCATGGCCATACACTCAAGCCGAAGTCGCTGCTCTGAACGGGATGAACTGGGTGGTTGCACCATCCTGCTTGCTTGGAATTTATTCGGAGTCTCCATTTCTTCGACCCGTACTCTTGCTTCGGCGCGTTCAATTCGCAATCCCTGGTGCCCCTGTCGTCAACTCTCCAGATCCAGATAACATGATCCGCACTTTGCGTGACATAGCCGATATGAAGGTGGCGAAACATCCTTCCTTTTGTCCCTGCCCTCCGAAGTCTGCTGCTTCCGTAGGGTTCTCAACGGACTTCCTTTCTTACCTATTCACACTTGATCTTGATCGATTGCTGGTAAAGATTCTATCCGATCAGCTGAGAACTGGGCCACGGTAAGTAGCATCCATCTCATCTACTCGCTTGTGTTTTCCTCGACTTGATACATTTTTGTCATTTGATGCGGATGATGCTCCTTTTCCTCTCGCTTCATCATCGTTCTTGGCAATATTTTTATTTCTGGTAAACGTCATTTTCCGCACTTTTTTCTGCGCCCACTGGATTGTACCCTACCTGAGATATTTTTGTTTGCTTGACGCAGACTAAAGACGGTTCACGATCGGTTCACGTCGATCGAACTCCCCTATGGGCTCACATTGTGCTTTCCACTGAATTCCGTTTGGTTTTCGGCTCCCACGTGACCTACCCTCCGATACTACTAAGTACTTGTCTCGTGTAAACATGCAGAGACCTCAGTTAGTCCGTAGTCTGGCATTACTCGAATTTGGAGCTTGGTGAACTGACGACTTCAGTCTCAAACGCGGCGAACATGACCAAAAGTAGCACGCCTACTGTCAAAGCCGTAATAGTTCGTTCCATTTTCTGATGGACTTCGCTAGGTACCGGCGGAGCTGCATAAACTTCCGGCACTAGAAGGCAAATATAGCGAACAAATTTGTTTTTAGCTGTTCGTCACCAAGCTAACGCCATCACGACTAGAGCAGACGTGAGTTAAACGTGGGGAGTAACTGGATCGAAATGTCTGTTCGGCTACGCGACGTGGTTGGTCTGTTCTAATCCCCCTAGTCTCTGTGGTGTTCATCTGATGATGAATCGTTAAAATAGCTTGTTCGCTAGCTTTGACTTCTAGCGTCTTATCCTAGAACTATTAACATCCAACGCTCACGCAAATGACCTTTCGTTTTCATTATTTGTGAAATATGCTAAGCTCCAATGCTCGTGGGACTCACGGGATTTTGACCAGCTGAATTCTCTTATAAACATCCTTGTTTCGATTCGCCAGGAAGTTGGGTTTCCTTGAGCGCAGATCAACGAACCTCGCGCCCAAAGGCCAGAGGAAGGATATGCCTTGAAAGTCAAGACATGTTGAGACTAAAAAGTCAAGACCAGCTGATGCCCAACAGTCAGTCCAGAACAAACAGACACCCTTAATCAATTGAATCATGACTGAAGCGGTCTGTGTCAGCACAATTTTACTCACGTCTTCTTGTGCAATCGACTTTAGGTTGTTGCGTATTCACCGTTGTATTTTTTCTTTTACTGGGGATTGGTCTACTCTAGCACTTCGACACGCGAAATTTGGTGGCGGGAACTCGTGCAAAAGTGCAGAGGAATTCCAAAGCAATCATACCCCAACAGCAAGCTCAGTGTGAAGTGGCTCAGATGCGATTAACGGAAAACTTAATGGGACAATTCAGCGTTAAGTCATCAATTCCGGCATCGGAAGCAAATGCAGCCGAAGTAAATACAAACAGCATCACGGAGTTTCGTGTTGAACCGGATTCTAGTTCGACTTTTGCGTCGTGACTCAAACAATGTAAAGACCTTAAAACCAAACTGAACTACAAAGATGACGCTTGTCTACTCGGGTTGTTGCCAAAGAAGCTTGGTACAACTGCCAATGAACGCCAGGCGTCTTACTTTTGACGCAGCCGTCCACCAGTAATCAGAAATTTTCGGTGAACGTTCTTCTTTGTTTAACGCTCGTTGCCACTGCATGAGGCTAGCCAAACAGACGGGCAGAGATTTCATCTGTGTTGGTAGAGTCAATCTTGAAGACGAAAGGTTCAAGCTGTTTACTATGACAGAAGATCGATTCATGTCTCTGGTCTTCACTTACCGCCTCCAGTCACACCCCGGCGGTGATATCAGAGCCAGGTTACTGGCAACATTGGACTGTCCTTTGAAATTAGGTTAAAGCAAATAACCCGATACAGCCATGCCCTAGCGTTTATCAGCTAACTCCACTTTCGATATCACTAAGACGCAGCAACAGCAGTCCATGCCTTCGCAAAATAACCATCTATGTGCTGGTAGTGTGTGAACGGCATTTCGCAATGTTCTACCTTTATGAGGTCAGCTGCTCAGTTTTCATTCGGCATGGTTACAAACTAACTCAATGCCGATCAGAGCAATGTGTCAGGACGTCTGGCCAAAGATTCCAATTAAACAGTCGATCGAATAGGACCGAACCCAAATACAAAGCCGTTGTAACAACTGATTGTAATTTTAGGTGCCACCGCAAGTAACTAGCTGCAAGAATAAACGAAGGATGGTCCGAAAGTATCTGGAAGAAATTGGGTTCACCAATCTATTGGAAAATTAATAATGCCATCGGAGATACATCTGACGGCAGAATCCATTTACTTGAAGAATTAGACTGTGCTGCAAATTTCAGATAAGAGCGATCACAATGCAGTCTGTATAGTTGCTTTGGAGCTATCGACTGGATCTATGGTTTGCAATTTTCTGACAGTCGGCCAGTAGCCTTAAGGATCACATTCCTGCTTTGTAATCCTGAGGTCGTAGGTTCGAGCGTGCGGAGGGGCCGGGCGGTCCTCGCATTATCCTTAACCCACGCGCGACTGATGATGTTTACGTAGCGGCGAGGCGTCCGTACTGCATACCGGCATACTGCTGATGCCTTCTTTCCGACATGACGATCAACAAATTGTGTTCATCAACACCTACCCAAATTCTGCCGGCGTCGAATCTGCTCACGACAAATAGAGACTTTTTGGCCCTCTTGAACAAACTCAGTTCTTTTTTGCAGATACCCTTGCATGCTGCTCGAAAGAAAAAATAAATGTTTCATTTGCACCCAAATGTCAACCCTGCTAGCACACTTTACAAAAACTCGTACAATGTTTATGAAAAATCGGAAACGTTACTGATTTTTCGCGTAAAGATTTTAGCCTAGTGCAAAAGGGCAATCTTCAGGCCAAAGATGCGAGTCCCACATGCAGCTTTACTGATAGTTGGCGACGAGCTTAAACACCTAGAAAAAGCCAGTTCTGAAGACGGCACATTGCTCTCCTTGGGCCGCACCAGTCATCGTTATCAAATGGCCAAATGGGATCGTTCGAACATGTACCAGACGTTCCACAGGACTGAATGATGGCCTCGACGACAATCGTTATCCGCTACGATTACCAGAGGAATTTTTTACGGAAAAGTATGGTGGCCCGTATTTCGCTAAACTTGCACTATGGCATGCTTCCTTCAGGTTTAGGCTGCAGAGGAATCCAGGAATCTGTTCGCAACCGACACCCACCGTGATCTTTCTCAATACACCCATTTAACTTTTAGCGTTACGAGGGCCCCAGCTATACTTCAACCAATTATGGACACCAAGTTTAGCGAAGTCGACATCATAATCATAGGATGAATGTGATCAAACTGTTCATCAGTTTGGATGCTCTCTTAGCGCATACTTGACTATGGTTTCAGACTAACTAGAAAAACATGTGCCAACTTCTTGAATTCAGTAAACTACCTTGCTTTCATCATCGATGAAAACGGTCGCCGACTCGACTCGACAAACATTGAGTCAGTCATAAAAATGTCCCCACTTTCGAATGTTGCTGAACTGAAGTCGTTTTTCGGATTGACCAACTATTTTGGCGCGTCCCTGCCAAGTATGCACCGATTACGTGAACCCTTGAATCAGCTGCTCACAAAATGAGGTCGATTGGTATGGTCAAGCGAATATCAACTTGTTTTTGAGCACTTGAAATGATACCTGAAATCTGAACTTTTGACGCATTTCGATCTAAAGCTTCTGCTCATATTCACAGCTGACGCATCAAATCATGGAGTGGGAGCAGTCATAGACCATGAATTTCCTTGTGAAACGAAGAAGGTGATAGTTCGTGTCGCTCTATCTCTAGCATTGGTAAATCGCAATTACGAACAAATTGATAAAGAGATACTGGTTATCATCACCGTAAAGTTTCATAAACTGTTCTGTGGAATACATTCCGCCCTTGTCACCGATCACAAACCGTTGTCGGCTATTTTTCGGCTCCAAGAAAGGCATACCAATCCACACAGCAAGCTGATTACAGCACTGAACCACAACACTGCTGAACTACAGCTCTTATATCAAGTACGTCTCCTTATTTAGCATCTGACAAGCAGACAATATCATCGCTAATGAATGATCACGACTCGGCAACAGGAGAAATGTTTATCGCAAACATCGTCTTAGAACCGGAAATCAGAGCTACTATTTTGAAGACCATAAATCAGCTACCGCTGACTTTTAATATGCTCCTTAAGAGAATTGAATCGGACACCACCTTTCAACTGGCGGTGATGTATCATCGATCCATACGGTTATGACATTGCGCAATTAGAGTACTCCGACAATTTTTCCAGCATCGAAACACGTTATCTATCGTTGATGGCTGTCTTTTTTTCGCTACTTGCATCGTTGTCCTATCGGAACTCCGCCTCAGAATCTTGACACAGTTTCATGCGGGATGTCCGAGTACAAAGGGGATGAAGACCTAGGCTAGGAGCTACGTCTATTGACTCGGTATGGATGAACATTTGACACGTCTATGCCGAAGCTGTTTTAGATGCACCATCACTCAAAATAGGCCCAGCAAAATCCTGGCCAAAACCAGAGAGACCATGGGTGCGTCCCCACATTGATTTTGCCTGACTGATTAACGAAGATTTTTCTGATCGTTATGGATACCTTCATTAAGTGGCCGGAAGTTTTCATCATGTGCTCAATGATTACGGCTGCAACGATTGTCAAACTACGACATCTGCTTCCCATATTTCGGTTTTCGGAGACAATCATGTCCGACAACAGCACTCAGTTTACTTCGCAGATGTTCGCTAACTTCACTAAAGACACGAGATCACTCACATCAGAGCACCTCCCATCCGAAATCAGTTGGGCAGGTTGATAAACTTGTTGACACATTTGAGCCTGCCCTGCTGAAATCCGGGAGGAGGAAACGACAGCGGAAGTACTGGATGCATTTGTTCTGAACTGCAGAGCCAATTCAAATCCGCCGAGTCCGAAAGGTTGTTCTCTTTCCTGCCCTTGGTCTAAAGGATCAAAACCCTGCCTTGTAAT